GGGGTGATGAAAGGAGGAGAGAGGATATAAATGAGTGCTTCTGTCTAGGCTTCTGATGAAAATAAGAACCGAGGTTTGAGGAAGAGATTAAATGTACACTTTAGTGACCTTTTCTCTTCTCCTCTCAACACCCATTGTAAAGTCCCAGCAGGTCAGTCTGTTAGCCAGGTGGCCAGGATAACATTTGGCAGCACTGACAATGTTCGTCATGGGCTGTAGTTCCTAGCTCATGCCTGCTGTGTTTCTAGGCTGCTGCACAGTTTTCCAGCCCTTAGAAACAGGCGGTGGTTTTACTCACAAGCAGTGGCTTTTCCACTCAGGCACAGGCACAGGGAATGGAACCACCCCCTTAGAAAGGACTGTATTTCTGTTCTCCCCTTGCCTGCCCTCAGTGGCGCCTGCCAAGGGGTTGGGAAGGAGCTCTCGAAGTAAAATGCCAGAGTAAATACTGGGTAAACCCTGCAGGCCATTTGGCTACTAGAACAAGCATTTTTGAAATGTTTCATCAATGCGGACTCTGATGCTTTTCTTTCATGTAGCTTCCTATACCTGACCCTGGTTCATCTTTCTCAGTTTATGTCATCAACACTTTTCTGGAACACATTTCTCTTAAGGCCACGATGTTTTCAAGCTGGTATGCTTGTTTCTGTAATCTGCCTATCATGGAAAAGTAAATAAAACCTCCGTTTTCTGCAGGCCAGCCAGCGAGGAGTTAATGGCTTCCAGCCAAGCCGAGCACATTGAACGGTGTTGTTTCTAGGTACAAGCTCTTAATTCAAGGTTTTATGTGTTTAATTATGTATGTGTAAAGTGCCAGTCTGCATGTCTCGTGGGCCCAGCCTCGCTTGGAAATAGTAACTACAAGAGCATACAGAAAGGGCCATGGGATGAGACTTAACTCTTCAGATGTACAGCCTTTATACCAAGACCCATGTGGAGGGGAATTACATCCGGGGGGATAACAGAAGCAGCCTGTTAACCACGGAAACATCTCAATTAAAAAGAAATAAGATGGAAGAGCCTAAAGCACGCAGAAAGAGATCATTAGGGAAAATATGTTGTAGTAATGAGTACGCTGGACTGGCCAGAGGAGAGAGTTGGTTTCTAAACCTGACTTTATCAGTGCCTTTGCCCCTACCTATACAATGTGGAGGTTAGACACAGCTCTGATGAAAACAATCAGATGTTCAATAGACTGTCCATTAACAAATAAGCCACCTGCCCCCCAATTACGGCATTTACTATGCTTAAGTAATGGCATAGCTTTTCACCCTAATGCAACCATAAAAAGATATTATCAATATGCTTGTAACCTTAGCCCTTAAGGGCCAATCAGTTGACCAAAGGGAGAAAACCCCTTTTAGGTTTTGGAGAGGACCCAGGTCCCTCGGGTGAGGTTTCCTTGGGGATCACTACCAGTGCCCTAGCAGGCTACTTCAAAGAAGAAGGGGAGATTTTTCTTTTAACCAGAGTAACTCTACTTTTAGATTTTTTATATTTTGGGATTCCAGGTTAATATTTTGGGGTGAGGGAGGGGGAAGTTCTGTGGATTTTCAACGGTTTGGCAATTTCTGATAGATGCTATATGAAAGAAATCCTTTACATGACCCACTTCATCATTCCGTGATACATCCAGCCTTCTCTCTTCTCTACATACATACCCTGTTTCCCCCAAAATAAGACAGTGTCTTATATTAATGTTTGCTCCCAAAGATGCGCTAGGTCTTATTTTCAGGGGATGTCTTATTTTTCCATGCACTAGGTCTTATTTTCGGAGGATGTCTTATTTTCGGGGAAACGCGGTAGGATTTTCTCTTTTTCTGTAGCACCACATGCAGTGTAGTAAAGAGTACGAGTCTGTCACTCTCACCTTTGGGAGCTATAGGATGGAGGCAAGAAGCCCTGAGAAGAGTACTCAGAGATGATGTCCATGGTTCCTAGGTAGCAGGTGCTAATGGGAAGGGCCTGCTGCTTGGAGAACTGTGAAGTCTTTAGCTGAATGGCTTTTGATGGCAAGGAGGTGAAATGGAACCAGAAAGAGGGTTTTAAAATCTCCCCTGCCATCAGAGTACTCAACCTGCCATATGACCCACCCCCTCACCCCAGGGGTCTCTTCTTTGGGCTCTGAATTAGTACGGATGCCTTGACTGAGAAGTTTGTTTTGCTCTTTTGAACTAGGGTGGAGAATGCCTATTTGTGAATTAGTAAAAAAAAAAAAAAAAAAAAAAATGGAGTAAGAAGACAGAAAGGTTTTGAAGAGTGGATGATTCTGCCTTAAATTTGTATCTTGATCTGGATAAAATAAAATATGTCTTGTTAAAAAACCTCGGTAAAGCAATGGAAACAGAGGTTTTGGTTTTTTAAAACCACAATTTATTCACCTACTGCAGTTTGGCCCATACCTTTCTTGACTTGATGTCAGCTTCCTAACTTCGAACCACATGTGTGAGTGTAGTAAAATAGGTTGCTGGTCGGTTTTTATTCTGATCTTTATAGTCACTTGGAACTTTCTTAGGCATGCAGAGAAATTCATCCCTTTGCTCAAACTTCTTTGGTTCAGTCTTTAAGAGAAGATTCTAAATCTTATAAGATCTAATTTATTTCAAGACTAGAAATCCACTGATAAAAGGTCACCATGAAAGCTTAACAGTCTTGAAATCCACACACGAAAAATAAAAAGGAATTACAAAAATAAACACAAATCACAATTCTCAATCTGATATAGAATTGGCAGGGACATTAATAACATTTGACACTCCCCTCCCCTTTTCTTTAGCACCAGGGAGAGTACCTGCAGAGAGTATATGAATTCCTGAGGGCTGTGTCACTTAGTCACTTGATGTGTGAGCAGATACCTAGCATGCAGGCCTTGTTTTGCTTTGACATCCTTATGGTGCTGTTACATAAGCTGCTTAAAGTATCAAGCCTCTTTTCGTTTAAGAGGCCAATTAAAAATGGCTGATCTTCCCTTTCATTTAGTCTTTCTCTTCTTCAATCTCCTTTTCTTGGTTTTCCCAGTTTGATTTCCCTTCTGACAGACTTTTACTTTAGCTTTTTAAATAGATTTTTTATTGATTTCAGAGAGGAAAGGAGAAGGAGAGAGAGAGAGAGAAACATCAATGATGAGAGAGTCATTGATTGGCTGCTTCCTGCACGACCTCTACTGGGGATTGAGCCTGCAACCAAGGTACATGCCCTTGACTGGAATCGAACCTGGGACCCTTCAGTCCACATGATGATGCTCTATCCACTTAGCCAAACCGTATTGGGCCTGACGATTATAGTGAACAGAGCACCAGCCTGGGAACAAGAAGATTGGAGTCCCTGCACCGCCTACAAGTGTGCAGCTGTCTTCTTCCTTATCTGTAAAGAAATGGGTCACTGAGATGACCGCTATTTTCTCTTTAATCTCTGAAACTCTCTATTGGCCTTGCTCTTGTTGTCTGCTGTCCTATCTCTTACCTGTTCCCTCCCTCAGCTACTCAGGATGCATGTTGTTTTAAAATACTCAAAGTAAATGTAGTTGTGAGGAAACATCAGTAAATACAGTTGCTGGCAAGATATGGAGAATAGGAGTTCTTATTTTGGTAGTTTCTCACTATGTTTGCCTTTCTTATGTCCTAGCTAAATATAGCCTACAGTTACAATTTATTTTGTCTGCACAATTGTTGTTGCAAAATAAAACAATAATATAGTTTCACCCATCAGAAAGTAAAAATGTAAAGGCTTGATAGTATCCAATATTGTGTGAAGCTGTAAGGGAAATGCTTACTTTCACACGTGGTTGTGGGAATGTAATTGGTGCATTGGTTTTGGAGAGCAGTTTGGCAGTATTAATTAGTATTTTTATATAGGTTGACTCAGTGATTTCAAAGGTCCTTAAAGAAACTTATATGCAAATATTAAGAGGCATAGTCAAGGATCTTCATTGATATGCAGTTTGTAATAACAAAAAACTGGAAATATCCTGTATTTCCATTAAGAAGGGAATGTATACATAAATGTGTTCATATATGTTTAATGGAGATATTTACCCATTAAGTAAATAAATATCTTAATTTTTTTTTCAATTTTATCTATTGAAAGCACTTATAAATAATATAAATATCCATATATATTCATACAGATATTAAAAATTGTACAAGGAATGAAGTTGATCTGTAGGTACTAACATATTTTAAATAGAAAACTAAGACACAGAACCATATATTAGCTATGATAAATTTATATAAAAAACAATTATTTATATATAAATTATTACTATGTATTATATATAACATATTATATAAATTATATGTTATGTAATTTATATAATATTTATATATAAATGGTTGGCAGGACACATACTAAATTGTTAATGGTAAATTCCTTCTAAGGAGGAAAATGGTGTAAGAATATTGAGAGGAGAATTTCATTTTTTTACCATATAAACTCATTTATTAAATTTTTAAAAAGCATTTATGTATTATTGATATAAAATGAACAAAAGGGAAATAAAAAAATTAGGAAAAAGAATTACTTCCTGCCCAGCTGGTGTTACTCAGTGGTTCAGCATTGACCTATGAATCAGGAGGTCAAGTTTCATGTGCCCCAGGCCAATCAGGGCACATGCCTGGGTTTCAGGCTCAATACCCAGTGTGTGTGGGTGTACAGGAGGCAGCCAATCAATGATTTTCTCTCATCACTGATGTTTCTCTCCTCCCCCCCCCTCTGAAATAAAATATATATATATATATATATATATATATATATATATATATATATATATATATATATATATTAAGAATTACTTCCTAAAAATGAAAGAGGAAAAAAAAAAAATTAGCAGGAAATTCATTAAAGATATGAAGGGAACATTGTTTGGAGTGTATTCCAAAACTTTAGGATTGGATTGGAGCCATGGTTTATACTTTGGCATGACTGCCTAGCACTTACTGTAATAGCTCTAACCTCCCATTTCTTTGTGTGCCCAACTCATTCTTCTTGTCTGTGTGCTACAGGTAACTCGGGATCAGATGAAGGCGTTTATACAGCAGGAATTTAAGAAAGTTCAGAAAGTGATTGCTGATGAGGAACAGAAGGCCCTTCATCTAGTGGACATCCAGGAAGCGATGGCCACAGCTCATGTGACTGAGATTCTGGCAGACATCCAATCCCACATGGACAGGTTGATGACTCAGATGGCCCAAGCCAAGGAACAACTCGATACCTCTAACGAAGCAGCTGAGCCAAAGGCAGAGGTAACAGAGATTGCCTACAATTATTAGTGCAGGACAAATAGGAGGAAACTGTTTGTTAGCTCTGGAAATGCCCTCTTGTGGTCCTTAAGTGTGAATGAATGGGAAGCCTACATAGGATCTGAGTGTTTAGGTTGGTATGTATACAATATGGAAGCACGCACCTGAGCCTGGCAAAATATTAATCCACCATGACTTAAAGGAATATTGTCACTGGGGGCAAATTCTAATCACAGTTACTAAGGAAAGCCAGAAATCAGAGCCAGAGGAGAAGGCTGCTGACAGGTCCCAAGTAGTGAAATGAGCCTATAAATTGAGTAATCGTAGGCATGAGGACTGGGCTGAATGAGAATAAGTCAAGAAGTGGAGCGTGAAGCAGGCCAGAATGAAGGGTTTTGGTCTGATTCTGTGGATAATGAAAGGATTCCTCGGGCTGGTTTTTATATGGAACCAGCTTTATAAATGGGGACATAACTGCTGGATTAAGAGTGGCGTGTCGGTTAGGACATTGTGAGGATCAAGGACAGACTCTGAAAGAAAGACAAGATAAATGTTGAGCTACTGTACAATGAATATAGTCAGTATGTTCAGTGTTATTTTCTAACGGGAATAAAGGGTCTCAGACATTTTAGCAAGCAACACGTGCAGGCAGTTAGAATCTATTTCTAAAATTAATTTATGCAGCTAACATTTTAAATATATATAAAATGTATAACATTTTGTTGAAAAGTCTAGTCAAGCTTATGCCAGATGGGTTTAGGGTGGGCCCTTCCAGAAGAAAACTCAGTCCTGTGGACTTTTCAGGACTCACTCAGTAGGTTCAGCTGTAACTAGCAGTCTTGCCTGGGGACAGGAGAGCCTAGGACAGAATAAGCAATCCAATAGACAACCAACAAATAATCTAGGAGGCAGGTATTCCAGGGGTCCTCAAACTTTTTAAAGTGGGGGCCAGATCACGGTCCCTCAGAGAGCTGGAGGGCCGGACTATATGAACTACTAATTCCTACTGTTAACACCTCGGCTGCGCTCACTGCCCAAAAAACCTGGCGGGCCGGATCAGACTCCTCTGCGGGCCGCATGTGGCCCGCGGGCCGTAGTTTGAAGACGCCTGAAAGCCATTCTGACAGGAAATGTGAGACCACTGGACAGTTAGCCACTTCCCTCACCCAGGACTCTTGATTAATTTTTACGAGTGTATAAAAGAATACATTAGTTCTTGTTCTTTTCACTTCATCCTCCTCAGAATTAAGACAGTGTGTACCTAAAAAAAGTTTCTAGAAAGGAAAGAGAGCACTTTATAGCCATCATTTCATTTAATCTCATTATCTTTGTTGTACAGATTGGATACTGAGATGCAGAGAACTGCAGAGAAACTGACACAACAGTGTTATTTAGTTAGTAGGAACATGGAATAGCCCTGTCTTTTTTATTTTCATTTCAATAAATGAGTGTTTCCTTCCCCAACATTAACTGTACTACATCTGTTAACTCTGATGGAATTGCTCTTAGGGATGGAACACAGTACATAGTACATGCACATTTTTTTAATACTTAACTTTGGCAGAGAATTTTATAGAAATATAACTAAATTTAAGCCAAGGAAGAAAGAAGGAAGACATAATTATAAGGCAACTCAATAGGTCAGCAGACATTCAGAGGGTTGCTAATCTTGCTAGTAAAAGTAATGTATATGCTATTCACGCTATCTGAAAACGCACATCTGTAGCCTGAAAACCCGGCCTTTAAGATCAAACCTCACTGGGAAGTTGCCAAATTTGAGCTGAAACATTCATGCAATGTTATAAATTATAGTTCAAATTTGGAAATAACAAAATGAGGTAAAAGTGAAATTTGTATCACTGGTATAGGATTCAAACATCATGTTTATGGATAATTTCTGGTAATGCAAGGAAAATTTTAGATATGATCTTTTAAAAAATGGAACGAGGTGATGAAAGTGTTAACCAGCCTTATTGGGGTAATATTTTTCAATACATACATGTATCAAATTATCACATTGTACACCTTAAACGTATTTATGTTATTCTATATAATAAAAGGCTAATATGCAAATTATCCCCTTGGGAGTTCTATTGGAAGACCAGGAGTTTGATTGCTCGCTATGATATGTGCTAACCACCAGGGGTCGGCGCAGAACATGACGGGCAACCAGTGGTGGCAAGGTGCTGAGGGAGCAAGGGAAGAAGGCAGAGAGACCAAAAAGTGGGGAACCACATGGTGGTGGTTCTGACAGTGAGGGAAGGAGGAAGGAGGCGAGGAGGCTGGGAGGTGGGGAACCACGGGGTGGTGGTGAGGGAAGGAGGAAGTGGGAAGGCGAGGAACCTGATCAGTGCTCATCTCAGGCCAGGCCTAGGGATCCTAACCATGCATAAATTTTGTGCACCAGGCCTCTGGTATGTCTATAATACTGAACTAAGTACTATAAAAATATTGTTATTAAATAGAAACACCATTGTTTGGTTAAGAGTGATCTGGATCATCAAATCCCAGAATTACCCTTTTACAGAGAAAACCAAGGTCCAGATTAATTCATTAGCTTGCCCAAGGGCACAGCACTAATAAGCAACAGAGCTTGGACCAGAATCCCAGATTCCTGAGTCCCAGTTCAGTGCCCTTTTCAGATGGTGTTCTGTATGTTAGAGCTACTATGTTTCTCTTTGAAGAAAAAAAAAAAAAAAAATGCAAGACCAAGGCAGAAATGAGTCTTTGAGGGAAACTGCTTGATACCTCAGGAGCTGGTCAGCTTTTGCCCAAGATCCGCTGCTATTTTGGGATCTCCGTTTGCTCAAAACTAAATACTGCCAACCGTACAGGTAAAACAGCAAAGCTCTTATTTAAGCCTCCTAGGTCTGCTTGCAAGGGCAAGTGATCAGTTCGCCTTTGTTGGGCAGTTTGAACACAGGATTGTGTTAGCCCTTGTCTTAGCCGCTAGGCATCTCCTGATTTGTCTCTTGTTAACAGTAAACACACAGGTCTCGCTTTCAGGTTGGGAAAGGAGAAGGAAAGGAAGTCTAAATCCGTCTCTACTGATGCCAATTTCTAATGCTGTTTCTTTCTGTTTCTTTCAGGGTGAAGAGGATGGACTCAGGTAAGATCACATTATTGCTGCTTGTCTGTTCTCAGAATTGAAGTAGAGTGACATTGTGGCCTCCTAATGCCCCGTGAGAAATGGACAGCACAGAGAGGGGATCTCCATCCTAAGCCAGGGCTTTGAAGATCTTATTTTGCAAGATTCCCATCTCCCTCCCCATCCATGCCTTTTCATGCCTGTAACCTTCAGATAAAGGATAGACTTTAAAGTATGTAGTGGCAATAACTTTGCTCTATTCTTTCGTACATTCCGAATATCTGTTCAGAAGAGGGGCACAGTATTTGAATGGTAATTAGGCTCCCAGGTGGACCGACTAGATAAGTTTTTGCATTGTTCCTTCTTGATTGGAATTGGGTAACTTTTTTTTTTTTTTTAATGGGCTCTGGATCCATTATTATTTATTTCTGACCTATGATATCTTTGTGTCCAATGCAAGACGCCTACACAATGAAGCCTAGATCATAGGAACACAAAATTTTGTTTAGGGAAAAAAGTGCTCCTTTGTGCTTCTCTATCACCACATGAAATTTAAAAGTGAATTTCCTTTTGGCCTCAGCCTCTCAGTGAACCTGGACTTGGTATACTTACCATCCCTGCCATCCTGCTCAGGCAGTGAGCACAGGCTCTCAGAAATGCAGTAGCTGTGCCATGTGAGTTCAGACAGGACCAGTGGAGAGAAGACACCTTAGAAGTGCAGTGTGCAGACTCCACAGGGCAGCAGTGGCACTTGTCTTGGGAGAGTCTGATTAGTATGAACACTCTTCTTGTCTGGATGTTCATATGCCAGTCTCGTTGATTGGAAGGATACAGGGCCCTTAAGAAGAGATTAACTCCCTTCAAAGGTACTATGCAGTGTGAGAGATGGGCTTTAGAAATTAATAGCTGGATCTTCGTGTCATTTTAAGAAGACAGTCATGAAGCATGGCTTTTCTTTACTAACAACCACGATGTCAAGCTGCTTCCCCAGCCGAGCTGCCACGGTGTCAGCGGGGATTCTGTTAAACTGGGCCTTGACAGAACTGCTTTTTGGTACAATGAACACTTGAGAAGTATGTTCCATTTGGCAGGAAGAGGAGTCAGATTTCCTTTTTAGCCTTTAAATCCATACTTGTTGGTTCCATGCAGTTTGTTTGTGTTGAACTACCATTTGGCTCAGTGTATTCCAATTAGCACTTCAGGGCCTTTGATCAGGAAGTTTTCTTATTTATGATAGACTCTACATCTTAATAAGCCAAACGTAGTTGCTCATGAGGTTTCTTTATTGCTGACGGTATTAAATGAGGGTGTGAAGTGGAAGGTGACAGAAAGGAAGGTCTGCCTGCCCAGGGGATGGAGGAGACATTCATCCGGAGAGCCTGAGTCCCAGGTCTGCTTGGATTAGTGAACCTGTGTCTCTTTGCCAGCATTCCCACCCCACAGTCACGTCCCTGCAGTCTGCACAGAAGTTCAGGGAGAATTGGATTCCAACAACTATTCCCGGTAGCAGGAACAAAGCAAGAGTCTTGCCCTGTTGAAACGTATTGATCTGTAATTGATCTATGTTTTCTCTTTCCTTCTTACCAGCTGGAGTCTCCCTGCTTTCTTTCCTCTTTTCAGTTTTGATTTCACAAGCTGTTTGACATGAAGTGGCCAAATATCTGTACTTCTGGTCATATCTTTTTCTTGCCCTCAATTTTATTGTGTAGTTGTCCTGCTAATTAACAACAGTAATGACCCGGACTACCATTTACTGAAGGTTTACTTTCTACAGTGCTTTATATGTATTCTCATTTCATCCTCACGTAAAGCTTTTAAACAGTTATTATCTGACTTGTAAAACGAGGCAATTAATGCTCAGAAACATTAGCTTGCCCTGGGTCCCACAGCTCGGAAGTGGCAGAGCTAGGACTTTAATGCAGTCTGGCTGCAGGGCTTGTGTCCTCACCCGCCATTCAGACTAGCTCCAAGAGGCCAGCATACTTCTCTGGGACCCCAAATGAAAGCCAAGAGCATTCACCCACAATCCTCAGAGGGTCCGTTTGGTCTTGCTTCTCTAACTTGGGAGTTCTTACTTGCCTTGACTTTGAATTGCTGTGACCTCTTCTCTCTTTAGCCTCTGGCATTCTAAAGGGACATTTCTTCATTTGACCTTTGCACAGTGTCCTCTGAGGGTCAGCAGCAAAAGGTGTGTGTAGACTGGCTGAGGAACGGCCAGCCAAGCCTTCCTTTGGCCCCGCAGAATAGCTGCCTGTTGCCCTTCCGTGTGGTAGTTAACTCTTGAAATCCTGCATTCCGTGATGTCGATGGCTAGGGTTCTTGGAGAGTGTGGAGGAGCCAAAGTCCTGATCTGCAGAACAGGAATAATCACCGCCTTGGCAACATCTTCTTTGAAACCCAGAGTGATTCTTTTTTTTCTCCTAAGCAAAAAAAGTAATTTACACTTTGGGTGGCAATTTTCTATCTTCTCTGTGCTATAATTGGAGATCTTGTGTTTGCTCCCTCACAGATTGGCTCCTTCTCTACTCCTGCAGGGAGCCTGCTGAGAAGTAATATATATTCCAGGAGAGGGGGTGGCACCAGGGTCTGCTGCCTAGAATGCTGTTGTGTAGTGGGAGGAAGTCAGAGGGAAGGACCCTTCAACTCTTGTGCTCAGAGGAGAAAGGAGCAAGATCAATATGAAAGTGTGATTTGCTGCTGAGATTTTCTGTGTTGTTGTTTGTTTGTTTTTAAATAAGAGGCAAATGGCTTTTTAATAGTGACAGCTATACTTGGGACTTCTGTAGAATTTTTCATCTTCAGAGCTGGCATTTAATTCAGGCAAAAAGCTCCTGCTGAGATCAGTGTGAATCTGACCGATGCTGATTCAACAAATCAAACAGGCAGCAAGTTCCAAAGGAGGAGGGACTCAAAACGGACGGGCTGACCTGCCTTTATTCTTGATCTGCCTGTGACTGACGGTGACCTTGGGCAGATCATCCAGCCTCTTTGTTTCTGTTTAGTCTGTTTTTATTTCCCTGCAAATATTAGTTTTCCCCCCAGTTTTTTTGGGGATATAGTTATATGGAGGAATCTAGTCTTTTATCAAATGTGGCATAGAAAAAAAAATCTATAGATTCTATAACTTGGTAGATATTTTAAAATCTTCATTTTTTAAAAAAGTGGGGGGACTATATAGTAGGTACCCCCCCCCTAAAATAATAACCATATGTTCTTAGATATGGCATTTCTTTTTTCAGATGACCTAGTTAGTAGAGAAAGAAAGAGGACTGAGTCAATGGTACACTTAAGTTTCCTTTGTCCTCTGATTGCAGATTGATGGTTTGGTTTTGCATTATCTTCATTTCAAAAGGCCTAGCTGGAAGCCAAAGAAAATGGCTCTGATACTTGTGCATGGAATGGAAGTGTCAGGGCTGCTCAATATACCGAAGTGGAGTTCCAACATCTTAGTGGCCTTCAGCACAGTCTCTTAACTGTCACACCTCCCTGCTAGGGAGCCTGAGCTGGCTTTGCTTTCCACTGCTGATGAGGGTTGTCTATCTTTTTAAACTCACCCAAATGAAGGATGAAACCATGCCGTGCATTGTGCTGCCTACTTATCATAAAAGCAAGCCTCCTTGCTAAAATAATTGATTTTCAGATATTTGCCTGTGAGAATCACAACTTTATTTTATTTTGTGTGGTTGTATATAACCAGAGAATCAATTCACAGTTGGGAAATTTGGCCAAAGGGGGCCTCTAGCTTATTCCATTTGCATCAACACAGGAAATGCAACTAGGAGCAGCCTGCAGTATAACATATCTGCCTGCCTGGATGTCACTGTGTGTGCTATGGTGTTTGTTACTCTGGCCCACTTTTGGTTGCCATCCAGAGCAATAGTTGTGATGTGTGGCAGGCTAACCTTGTTTATATCTTTGACCTTATCAGTATAACATTCACTTTTAGGAGAGCTGTTCTCTAATTTCATAAGCAGAAAAGATTGCAGAGGAATTCTTTCTTTCACTTGCTCAACATGTTTGACTGTCTACTGTGGTGTCGGGCCCCATGCTGGGCCTTGGGGATGTGAAGATGATAAAAGACTTTGTTCCTGCATTTAAAGATCTCAAAGTCTAGTTTGAAAGAGAGAACTAATTAAACAGCTTTAATTGCACATTTAAGTGCAATATAATTATTATTATTACAGGGTATAATTATAAAATATTATAAAGAAGCATATTAAATGCCAGCTATGTGCCGGAAGTATCTTAAGCATTTACATATATCATCTCATTTATATTTTACAACAATCTTAACAAGTGGTTAACACATTTCTCATCTGAGATGAGAAAACAGACACAAAGAAGCTATACATATACGAGGTTGTACACCAAAAATATGGTAGAGCCAGCCTTCAGACTTGTGTGACTCAAGAATGCGGGCTCTTAACCACTGCACTATAATGACTCTCTATGGTAATTATGTTGGATACAGAGCAGGATAACTGATTCAGAATAGAGGACCAGAAAATATAGCATTTGTACGCCACTCTGAAGGATGGGTACGGGTAGGCCTTTCTACATGGAAAGGCGGGAAGGCCATTCAAGCAGCAAGACCAGCATGTGAGAGGCTCAGAGGAGGGAGGTACACACGCTGTGTGGGGAAGGTGAGAAAGTGCACGAGTAGACGTGGCAGGAGAAGAGGTGAGTCCACTCTCCAAAGGGCTTTGTACCTCATACTGAAATGCCAAGACGCTGGTACTGTTTCCTATTAGAATTCACCTCTTGACTTCAACATTGTCCTGTGTAGAAGGAATGGACAGATTTCCAAATCTGATGGGCTTCTTCCCTCAGGCACATCTGATGAATTGTTATGGGTATATCACTTGCTTTCCTTTATGACTAAGTTCCCCATCCAAATAGCACATCCCATTATACTTAAAGGACAAAGGTGCCATGAAGCCTTGAAAGTCTTCTTTTGGTTTCTTCTTTTAGATGGAAAAACTAGTAACTGAGATAAAGTAGTTGTAAAAGGGACTGTTTGT